AGCGCATGCGCTTTTCGTGGCTGAATTTGGCGCATGCGTTCTCTCCGGAAACCATTGCGCATGCGCGTGACCGAGGAGGTGCGCACATGCGTACTGCGCGGCGATTTTGCGGCGTCCCCGCTCTGCTCGTGCGATAAAGGATGCCCACAGCACAGGATGTGCTACAGTGCCAGACAGAGTCTGTAATTCCAGAGAGAGCTCGAACGGCGTGATGCCCTGGACCTGCATTTGCAGGATGAGATAGGAGCTGCTGGCACAATGATGATGATGGCGAGTCAAGCCAGGTTGAGAGATGAAGTTGAAGTGCCTGCAGCACTAGATGTTGTGGGGTGCCAGATGCATTCTGGAACCCAGAGGACAAGAGCAAGATCAACACCTGAGCAGAAGACCTGACAGCTACAACACAGACCATATGGAAAAGGCTGGAGCCGCCTACCCGAGCGCACCCGCACTTTCTCCTCTGGAACACCCAAAATACTTGTCTCACACACCACTCATCGACAAGAGGCATCCACACTAAATAGAATGGTAACCCACACACACATGCCACCCCAACATATGAAATCCCCCCCCACACACACACTTATCTTTGCCAGGGCAGTCACCGCAGGACTTTGGGATCTGCTCCACATTGGCAGCTGTATCCCCTTCGATCTCTTTCAGGACACCGCATTCACCTTCGTCATCCGCTAAATCAGAACTGGATTCGTCATCCGCATGACAGACAGGTCCCGCCTCGACCGCAAGAAAAGCCCTCCCCTGGAGTACAACCGTCACTCCACTCGCCTGGATCTTGCCGTACGCACATTGTGACAGCGAGGGCACCCGTGACATCTCGAACAAGCAAAATAACCTTGAGACACTGCTACTGGGTAGGAAGGACGAGTCCTAGAGCTGTTGTAATTTTTCTGTTGGGATTGGTTCAAAATGATCAAGGAAGTTCACACAACAAATCCCCTCAAAGTCCTGACACCCGTGTCCTAAAAACAAAACTCAATAGCTGTGTGATTCTGTAGCCTAGCATACCTTATACTAGCTACATCTATAAGCATCTGAGTTATAATATATCAGAGGTAAAATTCACTTGTTCAGCTGTCCAGCAAGCAAGCTGGGCTACATCCCTTTGCGCTTTCCCGCTGCTGTTCTGGGAGCAGGCAATGGATCTAAAGCTCTGGCCGGCACATCCTGGAAGGCTAATTCATCCTTACAGGATACTTCTCTTAGCCCTGGCCTATTTAGCAGATCCCTCATTGATGGCATAAACTTGGTATTGTTTAAACAAGCTTGCGAGGTAGCCAGGTCCCTGACAGGTCTTTGTGGAATGTCTTGCCAGACTCGGTCTCGACAGATTGAGAGCACTCCTGGAGGAAGAGCCATAGTGCATTATAACATTGTACTCCTTTTTTTTTCTTTCTTTTTCTTTTTCTTTTCTTTTTTTTCTCTTTTTTCTCCTTTTTTCTTTTTCTCTTTTTTCTTTTCTTTCTCATTTTTCTCCTTTTTTTTTTTCTTTTATTTTTTCCAATATGAACATATTGCTATAGGAACGATTGTGTCAATCAAGCCAGATAACCCAGCCCATTGTCCGTTATAATTTCTTGTGGGATCCCTAGCGCCCTATCACTGAGCGCCTAAACATGTCAACCAGTTTCACCCGTCTGAGCTGTAGCACAAGCTGCAAGATAAAAATAATCAGTGCCAAGATGTACATCCTTTGTCTGCCAGATTCAAGGATCTGAGTCAAATCCATTTGCCAGAGCTGTAAAGGGGCAACACTGTGTCTCTTGTCTGCACCACTGGGGCAAACATAGAGACCTTGGAGGACTGATCATAGAGACATTGGAGGACTCTGGCCTCCAGAGCAACCATGGAGACTTTGAGGGACTGAGTGACCATAGAGACTTTGGAGGATTCCAGTCTCCACAGAGCAACGATAGAAACCTTAGAGGAAACAGTGATCATAGAGACAGTGGAGGACTCTGGCCTCCACAGAGTAACCATAGAGATTTTGGAGGACTGAGTGAACATAGAGACCTTGGAGGACTCAGTGACCAGAGAGACCTTGGAAGACTCTGGCCTCTACAGAGCAACCATAGAGAGTGACCATAGAGACCTTGGAGGATTCCAGCCTCCACAGAGCAACCATAGAAACTTTCGCAGAAACAGTGACCATAGAGAAATTGGAGGACTCTGGTCTCTACAGAGCAACCACGGAGCACAGAGGCCCCAGGGACAGTTCAGGCTTTCGTGTGGGCCCCCGCGCTGGGCCTCTGTGCACAGCTGGCCCCCTGGGCCCTCTGGGCTTTCATGCGGCCTCCCCGGGCCTCCATGTGCAGCTGGCCCCTTGGGCCCTGCAGGCTTCCGTGCCGCCTCCCTGGGCCTCCGTGCTCACATGATCCCCGGGCAACGCCCATGAGGGGACCCCTAGGATTTGGTGGTTGGGAGCCAATAGTCCCCCAAGATCCACCTGCAGACATCTCTAAGGTCCCCAGCATGCCACTAATTCCTGTCCCCTCTCCCGCCATCCAAAGACTCAGTGGCCCCAGCGGCGGCGCCGAGGGGCCCAGCGAGCAGATGCAGACTGGCTTCTCACGCACTTTATTTTAAAATAACATCCAGTGGTTCCGGTATTGGTAAAAACGGGTTTTCTACAGGCCCCGGGCTATGTACAGCTGTCAAAGTTAAAGTTTCTCGTTATATTTTTTTCTTTAAAACTTTCTCAGCCCCCACTCCCTATTTTTTACCTTTTTTTTCCCCTTTTTTTAAACTTTTTTTTTTATTTTTTTTAACTTTAATTTTTAA